AGCCCCACTGTGATTTAAATGCCATCGCCGTTCGGCAGATGTTCATGAAATGATCGTGAACATAGACGTGAGCAATTATTCGTTCCACATGAGTTAATTTACAAAAGATTATGCAATAACTGATTCTACTACTCTACTTACTGTGTACATACATACGTACTTGTTTACAGTGCCGTATTCAGGATCTATGCGCCCCTAGGCTCTTTCCGTGGTGCTGGCGCCCCCTCCGGAGAGTACTAAGACAAACGGCAGCCACGGGTCTCCTCCATATTTTAGTTTTTGTAAACATAGTTTTATACATCACCTAACCTTACAGCTAAAAACAACGATGCGGTTTTCTATACAATCTAAAAACACATGCTTTGTAAATTTTAAACCTCGTTATATTTTTTTTTTTTTGCATAGAAGGATGGGTATTGAATGAAAAAAAAAAACGTTTTGTAATTTTGCGCATATGTACACTGCCGGACAAAAGTATTGGTGCAGAGAATTTTTCGAAATGTATGCAAAAGTTTTTATTTCAATTACTCTTCCCTAATTTTTTTATAAAAAATATAGTTCAAACTACAACAAAAAAAAATAAAAATAAAATCTCGAAACTTCGTGCTAAACTTAAGACAGTTCAATAAATTTCCAGATTTCTAATCAGATTTTTCAGAAAAATTCTAAGTAAGCGGTTTTATAGCCGATTCAATTTTAGTATAACAAAGTGTAAGTTTGAAGTTGCTAAAAAACTGTATCGACTTTTGGCAATTTTTTTGGGGACGTCCGAATTCGGTTTTTTATCAGCTTCAGTTTAGAAAATTACCTTTCCGCTGAACAGTTGGTCTCCATAAGGTACATTATTAATGCATCTTCTACATTCGGGAAGCAATCTTTGACGTTATAATCAAACAAAAGTTGTATCCATATTTCTTTGCTATCAAATTCTTGATTTTTTTTCACAGTCTGGTTAAAATTGCAGGCAAAAATTGTCATCCAAGTCGTTTTCGTATATCTCAAACAATTTTGTACTTTCTGCGTGTCTAATTTGTGGAGGAACCCAAAACGTTCATGAACAAGTTTATAGGTCTCAATCCTCTTTTTCAGTTGACTCCCAAGTGTGTCCATTTCATGCATAAAACTTTGGATACGAAATTTATTCGATGGATTTTTAATGTCATCTAATTAAAAAAAAAAATGCATTTATATTTGCTTTATTTTCATTTGATTTACTTTATTATTTTTCCTTTTATTTATTCACTATTGTTATTTTAAAAAGAAAAACATATATGTATATGGTATGGTCAAAATTTTGGGAACGAGGAGCAAATGAAGAAAAATAATTCTTTGACTCATCCGCCAACTCTCGAGATCATTTGCTAATATACATCTTAAAACATTTAGGAACAATGGCCGATCGCCATCAAATGTATGCGGTGCGCATTCATTTCTCTTGTGCCTCGCATTCGATCAAAATGGACTCGCCTGCAGTGCCTCCTACGTTTCTAAAAATTGTAAATACATACATAATTTTTTCACTTTTTATAATTTTTTTTCTTACTTAATTTTTCATGTGGCGCTGACCCCTTTATGACGCGGGCCCCTAGGCTAGCGCCTATATAGCCTGTGCTTAAATCCGGCCCTGCTTGTATAGACATATAGATATGTACATATCTAACTGCGATAAAATAGTTAAACAAAAAAGCGACTGACTACTTTTCGTTGTTATTTATTTAGTAAAGATCTTGACAAAACAAAGAACGTTATTGAACTTTTCAAAAGCAAGTTAAACGGTACATGAAGAGCGAAGACTATAGAGAAATTTAATCGATAGTCAAATGCATGCAAGCGTTATAAACATACATACGAGCGATACATAGCTGGTTTTTGGCATAAAAAATCTAAAAAAAAAGAATTAATTATAAATATTCGTTAAATATTTACTGGCAAATTTACACGCCATCAGGCAACGAGTATGTTATACACATACCTTCACTTACCTTCATACATTTTCGAGAACTAAGTCATAGTCAATGAACAATGGACAAACTCATTTGATTAGAAAAGAACAAATCTTTACACACGTCCCACGTCAAAATTACGCAAGTGAGAACTTCCGCTGCGCATTTCGGACATTTTCAAATTATGTTGTTCAGTCGCTTGCGAACTGCAATTAAAATGACGCCGAACGTGGCTATGCCAAAGAAGCCAGCTACTGTTTTCTTACTCTTACTATGGCCTAAGCGTGTATGCAAAAGCAATAATGGCAACCAACAATCAGCAATGCAGCAAGAACATTAAATGAGCTGAGATAAGAAGTGCCAAGCCAACTGCCAGAACTGCCGCTGGTGCTGCCATAGCTACTGGCTATTCCACTGCTGCTGTTGCTACAGATGAAGGTCGCCAGCAAAAGATACAAAAAATAGCAAAAATAAAATTTAAAAAAACTACCGGCGGCAGCACAAATTGTGTTGCAAGCTCGGCTATTCTTTATTTTTATAAGAATTAGTTGGTATTTTTTTTTGGTTTTTATATTTGCAAGCAAATTACAATTATCAACATATGTATGTATGCACATATGTATGTGTGTATAGGTTGGGCCCTGCGGGAAATTAATCGTTGCTTTACAAGCGAACTGCGATTTTAAACAGATTCTAAAAATGTATTATCCTTATGTATATATTCAAGTATCTTTTCAAATCGAAAGTTCCTATTTTCTTCTTACTACTAATTTTGCCAATGGGAAAGTTTGTGAGCGAGTGTGTGTGTGTCCGTATGTTTGCTGGTTATCATGCTAAAAAATCTGCAGGTATTTCAATACAATTTGGCTCACAGATAGGTCTTAATTAATATATAGAATATTTTTTGAAGAGAGTTGCCAGCTTTTTCAAAAGTAAAAATCAATTAATTAATAAGGTAAATAAAATATCACAACACTGCAGTTGTCAAACGAAAGTGGTTACAAAATGATTTATTTCGGAAATATTTTTAAGGTGGTTGCCACCTGTTTAAGAATTTAAAATCGATTAATTGATAAGCTAGAGTACCAAACCACTATCGGCAGCAAACCAAAGGCGTTAAAACGATTCATTTCAAAAATATTTTGTATAAGGGTTTCCACCTGTTCAAAAAGTTCAAATCAATTTGGTGCACAATTTAAACGAAAAAATTTTTAAATTGGTATGAAATTATAGATATTTAAGAAAGCTTTTTTCAAACATATTTTTAAAGGGAGCTGCCACCTGTTTAGAAATTCTAAGACAATATAATTAACAAGCTCAACAAAATCTTTCAATTTGCGTTTCAAAAAGAAGTTTTATGAAAGCTGTATATATTGATATACATATATTTGTAAAATATTTTTGACGAGGGTTGACACCAGTTTAATAATTAAATTGTTAAGTTAAATGAAGTCCTACTAACATTATAATTGGGAAATTTAGTGAATGAGTGTGTGAGTACATTTGCTGGTCTTTGTTTACATAGGATTTGGCATTGGATTATCTGGATTAACAAACATCATATTTCTTGAAAAGGGATGCCACCTACCTAAAAAGTTAAATTCTACTTCAAAATATAAGTTCATCGAAACTTTACAATATGGTTGCCAAACGAACTCGATTGAAGAACGCTTTATTAAGAAAATATTTTTAACAGGATTGCCACCTATTTAAAAAAGGCAAATTCAATTATATTAATAGATGTATTTTAAGAAAGCTTTTCTTTGAAAGTATTTTCAGTTTATTGAATATTATACATTTCTAAAGGCAACAAGGCTCAAAAGCTCAGAGGAAACTAGCCCAAAGACTAATACTCGCTAAAACGGAGCAGAAACTTTTTAATTTTTTTAATTTGTTTGTAATGCATTTGTTTAGCGCTGTATCTACTCAGTCGCGACGATCGTGTCATTGTCACGTATAAATATAAATAAATACAAATCACTGCCAATACAAGAACTTAAGTTTTTTATACAATTAAACTGACATCACAAGCTTGGCTACGCTTGTTGTTGTTGTTGACTACATACATAAACATTCAAGTGTAACATGTATGTAATTGGGACAATGCAACCGGCTGCCGGCAATGGAAGTGGAAGTCGAAGTGCCGCGCAGAGACGATGTGTCAAGCCAAAGGCAATGAAGAGTTTCGAGCTGCCGGCAAAGTTGACCAAAAAAAAAAATATACCAATACAACACTTATGTATGTATGGCAGACTGGTACAAATAGCAGAAATTGCACATAAATGCATACGCTAATATGTGTTTGTGTATTTGTTAGCAAGAATGCACATTTTAATCGCTGATTTTCTGGCAGCAACGGATGCTAAATATCTGTTAGATTTTTTTTTTTTTGGTGAATACTATCAAAACCTGCGGCGCAATGTGCAACGGTATTTGCTTAACGGCAATGGGCTCACGAATGAATGAATGAAAAGATGAGCGACTGAACATCAACTCATGGAAGAATGTATTTTGCAGACGGCATGATTAACGCGCAATCAAGTACATATGTAGATATGTATATGAAATACTTGGGTATACATAGATATGCACGTAATGGAGACGACTTAAATGTGTACTACAACAACTAAAACAACAATTGGTACCTTTAGCAAGTGATGCATACATATCTACAAATGCAAAGTAAGTGAAACAGCTGCCGCATCAGCATCAGCATCAGCGGCGACGGCAACGGCAACGGCAACGGCAACAATGTGGCAGCAGCAGTAATTGTTGAGGCCAATTATTGTTGCACTAACCGTTTGGTTTTCATCTATCGCTGTTGTTGTTGTTGTTGTTGTTGTTGTTGTTGTTGTTGTTGTTGTTGGTGGTGCAGCTATTGCACATTGCCATTGTTACCAATGTGATGTCGATGGCTGCGTCTAAGTCTGCTGCATTAAGACACTAAGTGGCCGATGGTTTAGGTTACATACAGTTGAAATACACTTTTCAACTATTAAAAGAAAAAATATATAAGAGTGTGTACAGCGAGCTGGTGGCATCAGTCGATGTTCTCATTCAAATTGCAGCGCAACGCAACGCTATCAAAAAAACAAAAAATCGAAAAAGTAATCGCAAACGTGATAATAGCGAAATAAAACGCGCAGTTAATTTGTAGTGCGCTGTTTTCGGGCCGCGCGGAATTAAGGACTTACGCAGGATTATTCACTGTTCGGTAGATACGCGGTTGGATGCCTATAAAAATGTTGAAGCTGGTAAGTTGAGGAGGCAGAAAAAAGCGCAGCAAATGAAAAAGAAATTTAATGGAGTTAGTTCCTTCTGTTGTTGAAATGATTGGGGCCTTAATGGCAGTGAATGGAATGCACAACTTCGGGGCGTTCAAACGGGGATGAAATTGTTAAAATAGTGCATCCCTTTCGAAGGAAGGTTTTTGTTTTGAGACCGGTCTAGAAGTTTTGCCAAGATTCGGTTAGGTTAAAGTATTTAGGCGGCTAGCCGCGGCTCCTAGGAGGGACACAATTCCATTAGGTTGTACTGACTTTTCTGCTGGTACCACTAAAAGCTACTTAACTAAAAATACTAAACAAGGAAAGAAGTTAAAAAAGTCTTCAGGTCAATCCGTGACTTTTTAAGCTTTGGATTTCCAACGGGCAATCTGTGATCAGAGTTCCTGTCAAAATTAAGGCCTAAAAAGGTCCTTGATCGCCTATGATGTCGCTGGCAAGAAGTATCTTACAAAATGTTCGCTCTGTGCCCTCCAAACCGTCGTTAAATCCATCATTCCTAGTACAGTGCCCGTGAACTCTGGTAGAAATACCCTATTACGTAAAAGCAATCTCGAAGGCTGCTTAGGTCGTAAATTTATCTGTCGTGTAGCTTCCTGCACTAACGCCGCTATTCATCGTAATTAAATAGACCGAATGCAAAGATGCAGTGGCCGAGAGTTCCTTAAAAAATATCGACTGTGCTCTCAACGAATTGTTGAGATTATCATTAATACTTCAGCGGCTGTTGAACCTTGAATGGATTTACTAATCTTTTGATTCAGTTAATGATGCTTTCCAATTTAGAATTCAGTTGGTAGGCTAGGATTGGCTCGAATTCTGAACCAAAACCGTTCTTCGTTAACCCATAACATCTGCGGGTGTGACATTGATCGTAGCATAGTGCTCTTAGTTTCATCAGGTTACATCAAACAACGCCCTCCCATAAATATTACGGCTAGACGAAATCCTGTGGTACTTTTCCAGTGTATTTCTCTCAGTCCTAATAGCTCTTTTCTGATCCCTTCTCTGATCGTATTTGGATCTAGTGGTCCAGATGGACTCCCAGGGATCGACGGCAGACTCGACGGCGGTATACGTTGGCGTGAAAAAAATATGGGGGCTTACGAGTTGTAAGTGGGGGTCCACGAAAATTTATCTGGCTCGATAGTAAAGAATAAAAGTGTTGGCTTGACCTAACCTACCAATGTCGGCAGATAATGCACTACTCAAAAAACGTAAGGGTAGAACAAAATCCAAATTTTGCGGTGATTTTTGACAGGCCTTATTTCGGTGGAAAATGGTCGTATTGAGACTTTAAAAAAGCCCTTTGAAGCTTTAGCGTTCTAATTTTCAGATTTCAGATAAATAAGTAAATAAAATCCCGACGTGAAAAATAATTTTTCAATTTAGTTTTTTTTTTCGGTCCACCTGCGTGAAAAAAGGGTTGTTCAGTTAGACCGGCATATGGATCCGATAGCCTCTATATTTAATTTCAATTTCTCTGTTTAAAGCCTCCCTTAATTTTTTTTTTGAGTAGTGTATTTTAAGTCAGAGATCGCAAAAATTCCTCAGCTTTATTCCTCAGGAATGAAGCTTCCATCTTATTTATGCTCTAAACAAGTGGTTGTTTCTCATAGTTTCTTCTATACTCGCTCTTTTCTCTATTGTCAGTTTCTGAATCAAAAGTCTCTACGTATTCAGGGGAGATTTCGGGGATAGCTCAACGAAATAACTTTATTTCATATAAATTATCGATTATAATTCAATCCACTTTCTTTAAACTTCAACACAGGATAGAGAAATAAGCTTAATATATACTATGAAGACCTTTTGTTTTATTCACTAACACCTCATTTTAATTCAATTTCAGTCGCTCATACTCTCCATACTCGTCACCTTGGCCAGCGCACGTCCAGGCTATCTGCATGGTCACTATCCACACATTGATTACCCACTGCTGCATCATCATCATCATCACGAACCATTGCATTTGACTAAATTGGTGCATATACCAGCTGCCATTTCACATCAAAGTTCAACGGTGATCCACAGTGCGCCCATCATCAAGCCAGTTGTAGTGCCAGTGCTGAAGACAATTGTGCATCCCATTGTGAAGACATATCATGCAGCGCCTATAATCAAAGCCTATCATCCCATAGCTTTTGATCCTTACCATCATCATTACGATCATCATGACTTTCATCATTACCATTGAGGGGGATGAAAACACTTAACCACAAAAAAAAACAAAAAAATTATAACAAAAGCGACTTCCATGAGGTCCCAAGAATTCGAGCTCAATTAGGATGTGTGGAGAGGCTAATATAAATGACTAATTTTTACGAGAGCTAATCTTTCTTTAATTTTGCTATATTTTCTGTTGAACGTTGCGTGGAAACTTGTCACATTATTTCTAATAAATTTTCAACATTTCTTAAATGTTTTATGGCATTTGAAGGACAAAAAAATATGTTTGTACATATTGCACAAAATCGCTAAAAGCGAAGAAGATGTTGTTCGTTATAAATAAATAGCTTAATTGTTTATTAAAAAACAAAAACCAGCAGTTTATTTGTTTATAGTTTTTTTTTTTTAATACTCGCACTACTGAAAACATCTGCAAAGATATGAAGGTACATATGTAGCTAACTTAACCTATATACATAATTAAGTCGCATACATATTTGAATTGTCAGTCACCGTACACCGAACGTGATACTTAGGTACCCTATCTCCCCTCAGCCACCTTTTTGTGCATATATGTAAATGTAAAGACATCCAATAATAGCCGGATTGCGTTGCTTAAGCGTTGCATGTGACACTCTTATAGCTCGAAGCTAAATGCTGGATGTAAATGTCTTTACGCCTTTCACAACAAGTCGCCATACAATGGCAAGTATTACTGCAATTATTGCAACAAATCATTTGCTTGTTTGTTTGTCATTTTATATCACAAAAATTGCATATACTATTTCTACTACTTTCTGATTGTATAGGAACAAAAATAGCACAAATGCATAAGGGCTACGCACATACAAAACATACGTACATACATACTTGCATGCGTAGGTAATATAATTTGCGGTATGTTTGCTTGCACATGGCAAATTGGATCATTTATTATTTATTGTTATTATTTACTATTATTATATAGTTTTACCTACCCAGCGCACTATACCCAAGCACTCACAAACCTTCAAATATTCGGTTATGGAATTTGGATATTTGCAACATGTGAAGCAAGTTTATTGCTGCTGCATCGTCAACTTCCCTGCAAATTTATATTTCGGAACTAGAATGAGTTTGACAATTTCCAACTGCTCGCGTTTAGCTGGTCTCCCCATATCATCCCTATTTACGCTAAGGATGCTAAACTATTTGCTAGCTATCATTAACCAAATTGAAAGTATCCAAGTAGCAGACTGGGGTGATGACTTTGAGTACGTCACCGGGTCCAGTTTGTGTATATTCGAAGATGCTAAACTGTGTGGAATATAGGCGTATAGGGGCTCTAATAAGAATTAATTGGGTGTGTCTGTCACGTGAACACGTGCGCAATCTTTGGAGAAAAGTTAGTTAGCCTTCATTCCAAAGCCAGGAAAAGATGGTTATACACTGGCAAACAGGTTTAGGCCCACAAGTCTGATGTTCAAAGGATACATTACATCAAAGTGGGAACTCCTGAGAAATAGGAAGCAGGTGAGTATACAATGGGAATCTTTTCTAATATGGATGGGACTGTATGTATACGAAAAGGTTGACCCACATATGTACATACATACAAATCAGGACTAGCATCCGCAATATGCGTACCGTCACGGCACTTAGATCATTAGACTTCAAGGAATATACCCTGGCTGGTTTACTGGGTATTCATTGAACTCATACTTGAGGGTTTCTATCGAAAACAATAGCATTCAGTTACTTTGGGCACCACGTCACAAGGGAATAAAGGTAAATGAGGTAGCGGACAAGATATAGACTTCTTATTAACCTGCTTAAAGATAAGGTAGGAATTATAACAGGTATACTCACGAGGCTCTGCAGGCTCAAATGAAATCTGAATAAAGTGGACCTGGTCAAATTATTTCTATCAATTTTTTGACTCAGCTAAGAAGGCACCTCTGAACTTTCTGTGAGTTGTAGGATTAAATGAGGTATTTTGATGAGCGCTCAATCAAGGCTTCAAGGTTAATTCCTCCAAAACAGAAATGGTCTTGTTCACAACAAAATCAAAGATTAATGCCCTTTCTTGGCCAAGTTTAAGGAAACCAACTCTGATTCTCCAATCCATAAACCTTGTTGCCGTTCTTGATTCTAAACTAAGTTTAAAAAAGAATTTAAAATAGAGACTTAGAGGAATCTAACGGCTTATTAAGTCAGCAAACTGACTCTTGGAAAACATTTGAGAATTTTGAGCACAGTAATCGGTCAAAAGGAATGGAAATTAAATAATTGGTAAAGAGAAAAGACTCGCATGCTTAAGCATATCGAGGGTGCTAAATAGCGCACCTGGGGAGGGATGCCTGCAACCGCTTCATGGAATCAAAGTTGCCTTATACCGGTTTGGAACTTCAATACAAAGACACATCTATGGTTTTGGACCAGAAAAGAATGGAACGATGGCTACCAATGGCAGATAATGGTATGTATGTATATCCATCTAAGCTGATGGTTCACAGATACTGCAGGAAACCGCCGCCGTTCTCTAGTCGGAGGACCTGAAGATTAGTCAGTCTTTTCATGGCAATACTGTTGCATCCTTCCTAACATGAGTATATTTTAGCTAATACAAGAGCTCCTACTGGCATTATCTCAGAGTACTGTGTCGCGAAGAGAATTTGGATGAATTAAATGACCTACCTATGTAGGGTCTCACCACTTCATAGGTTTGGAAGAGATATCGTTGATGGAACTTTTGAGCGTCCTCAATTTATTTAGGGTAGGAAGTGGCTCAGCAGGTTAGTGCTGTTTTTTCTCCTCTTCGTAATAGTCCACTGTGGCTATAGGTACGTACTACCACTCCTCAGGACCTGTGTTCGATCCCTGGTCCAAGCAATATCTGAATTAGAAAATGTTTTTCTGATTCCGAATGTATTTCTGTCCTGAAAAAGCTTCTCATAAAATTTCATTTGCCGGTTGGAGGAGGCGTAGAATTGTAGGTCCCTCCATTTCGCAATATAACACAAGGACGCACAAAACAAATTGGATTAGAAGGTCGGCCAAACACTTAGCCTAACGTGGAGCGAACTAATTAGTTCGAAATTGTGGAATTTAGAATTCGCTCCTTTTAAGTCCTATGGCATCGCTGTGTTAAATTCACCAGCTTTTTGCTACAAAATGTATTTATCACGACCAAGTCTTGGTTCTTAAAGCACTAGAAGCGAACTAGATCGGAACTAGGATTTTCCCGGAAAACCTTTTCAAAGTATTTCTTTGATAGAACTTCTTGGACAGTCACTACATTTGGAGGAAGAAAAAATATTATCGATTTTCAAACTTTCTAAGATTTTAATGCAGAATATTTAAAATTTTGATTTGTGTTCTATAATCTAAGCATAAATTCAATTTTTATGTATCTTTTACTTTAATTCCCCATTAATAAAAGAAAATCCCTCTGTCCAAGTTTTAATAAATTACAGTAGTGTCCGTAGACCAAGCCTCCTACAGAGCTATGCTCCACTAACCCGGATTGAATAACAACTAAGCCGCTTCTAACAAGACACACAATAATTTATATTTATACGAAAGTGACAAGGCGATCACTGGCGAATTTGCAATAACTACATTTAATTGCATAAGAAATATATTCCTTACAAGTAATGCAAATCTCGTTATTGACGTAAATATATGTATTGCATTTTAGCTTATTTGTTACACTTTTTTCTTAACACGATAAGTCTGTTCACACTGACCTTTCATGCACGTATTTATATAGGAAATTTGCATTAAACTAAACATGTTTAAAATTTTAAATCAAACAAAAAATAATAAAAATAAATATTTTTTAAGTATTTGTTCTTTATTCTGCACAGTGAGTGTCAAAAATGCAGACACAACTCGAATTTGTTGAAGCTATGCAAACTTATAGGAAATTTCCTTCATATATTGCGTTTTAGAAAGTTTAAAACAAAAATTAAGTATTTATCAAAAAAGAAAGCTCTATAAATTTTCATTTAATACCCAGAAAGTTACACTTTGATCTTTAGAAATTGGGATATCAGCGCAAGCTTCATTAAATTTGAAAATATTGGCACGTTCTTTAAAAAATAATCAGCCTTACACGCGCATAATGTTCTCATAGTGTATTATTTTTATAAAAAAAAATTCTATAAAAGTTTATCTAATTTATCTTATTTTAATAGGATTTACCAATAAACGCTAAATGAATTTAATTTATTAATCGAATTTTATATTTTTCACGGCCATCATAACATCCTACTTATGTCGCTCAGTGTACAAGTTCATAGTTACTAACTATATACATATATGTAGTAGCTAAGTATTTAGATGTACAACGTTGATTAAGAGTTCTCTGACATGCAGAATTACACCTTTCACTTTCAAGTTTACCCGCTGAGTTTACTAACTATGTAGACAATGGAGAACTGGTATCGATCGCATTGACAAGCGTATAATTAATAGTCAATTCCTTTTGCGAGGAAATCATTAATAATAATATTGAAAATGAATTGAGTTTTAATCGATTATTTTTATTTGAGTTTTATTTATATATATATATATAATAGTAGCTCATAGTTATACACTGTGCAACATAATATATACCGACATTAACTAATCATGTCAGATAGAGACCTTAAATATAGTCGGTATAGATTTTGTCAAAAAACAAGGCACTGGTATTGTTCAATGAAATTAAAAAAAAAAAGAAATCCAGTCGGTTCCCAGGCAAAAAAATCTGATAAAATTTTCCCAATATATTCCTGAAAAAAGAAGGAAAAAGAAGGGTTGTAACATTTATTGTGCTAAATGAACTTTTGAGATCGAAAACCCCACCGTGCTAACTCTAAAATGGTCTTCTCATTAGGCGATTTTCCAGGCAATTTTTTAGAGGCGATTAATTGATTCAAAATTTAGCCCTTGAGAGAGGACAAATTTAGCGTAAATAATTATGCTTAGAAAACTCCACGTAGAACAGTTGAACATGGCGTAGGTTCCGAAAAGTTACATTGAACGCTATTTTTTCTAAGACGGTAGGACCATCGACAGAGCTATTCATAAGAATTGGAATAAAAGAGTGAGCGAGAAAAGTAAAACTTTGATATAGGGGCTTTAAAGCTAAAAGCTGACAACGAGATTCATGTGGTGGTATAGAATCACTAAAGTTCAGTGAGCGAAGAGCAGCATTTGATAAAAAGTTTTTGAATTCGTTCTATTCGGCTTATATTGGAGGTCATATATGCTCTGCAAATAAAAGACGCCTAGATCTTAGTAGCGTAGTGTATAGCAACTTCAGTACATACAGGTCCGAAAACGCAGACTGTTACGGCTTATGATTTCGAAACAATACGTATAAATTATGCGCGT